CAGAGGAAGCTTCTGCTCTCTGCTAATGTGCAGTAGATATGTACCGAGAATCGAGACCCATTGATTTTGCAGACAGCTCTTGGTTATCCACACATATGGCAGCAGTATTAACGACACGGAAAATCAGAAAAACATGGACCCTACACCTTGACCCATGCGGCACTCATAAGGGCCTGCTTGGGACAGCTGTGTTTGGGAACTAATGGTCAGTGGCCACTTCCTTTAGCAGTGTGTTTTGGGTCTTATTCTTTTCTTTGTCTTTTTGGTTTTTTTTTTTTAATTGATTTCAACTTTTCTATAGGTTTGAATTTTTCAAAATAATAATTTGGGGGGGAAATGACGCCAGTAATACATATTAAAAAAAAAAAAGAGGACCACCTACATGGCTCAGTCAGTTAATGGTTGAACTCTTGATCTCAGCTCAGGTCTGGATCTCAGGGTCATGACTTCAAGCCCCAAGTGAGGCTCCACGCCCGTTATGGAGCTTACTTAAAAAAAAATGGGGTGCCTGGGTGGCTCGGTGGGTTAAGCCTCTGCCTTTAGCTCAGGTCATGATCTCAGGGTCCTGGGATTGAGCCCCAAGTCGGGCTCTCTGCTCAGCGGGGAGCCTGCTTCCCCCTCTCCCTGCCTACTTGTGCTCTCTCTCTCTCTCTGTCAAATAAATAAATAAATAAATAAAATCTTAAAAAAAAAGAAGGTGAGTGGTCCCCATTTACCTCCCCATACTACTCCCCTCTGCAGAGATAACCACAGTTGACAGTCTGTTGTGAATCTTCCCAGGTTGATTTCTTTTCATTTACAAACGTACATACGTACATAGTTATTTGGGTCTTTGCTTTTTTGTTTTTCTGACTTACATGTCAGGAATCATGTTATATAACATAGTGGGATTTTTTTTTTCTCTAAGATTTTATTTATTTATTTGAGAGAGACAGAGAGCATGAGTAGGGGGATAGGAAGAGAGAGAAGCAGACTCCCCGCTGAGCAGGGAGCCCTACACGGGGCTTGCTTTCAGGACCCTGGGATCATGACCTGAGCCGAAGACAGATGCTTAACCGACTGAGCCACCCAGGTGCCCTCATTGCAGTTTTTTTAAGACTTCATTTTTTTTTTAAGAGGCGTTTTAGGTTCACAGCAAAATTAAGAGGAAGGTATAGAGATTTCCCATGTCCTCGGTGCTGTCACCCTACATGTAGCCTCGCCTGTTAACCACATCCCCAGCAGAGTGGTACATTTATTATCAAGGACGAACCTACATCGACAAGTCATTATCCCCCAAAGGCCATAGTTTACCTTAGGGCTCACTCTTGATGTTGTAATTCTGCAGGTTTGGACAAAAGTATAATGACACATATCCATCATTATACTATCATAGAGTAGTTTCACTGCCCTAAAAGCCCTCCACGCTCTCCGCCCTCCTAATACACCCCCTGATCACCACTGATCTCTTTATTGCCTCCTTAGTTTTGCCGGTGGCTTTCTATTCTTATTATTTAACACTGTCTCCCGGTGATGAACGTTTATTTTGTTTCACATCTGTGTTCTTCTACAGAACCCAACTCTGCCGGCGCTGAACTGTTCCGTTGAAAATGCCCATCCGACGGTTTCTTACTATGCTCGTCCTCAAGTGGCGTCGTACAATACCTACTACCATAGCCCTCCCCACCTGCCGCCATATTCTGCTTACGACTTTCAGGTATATTTTGAGAGAAAAAGAACTGTCTGTGACTCTTGCTGCTGTTTGTGCTGCCTTGTTCTCTCCCTGATTATGGAACCTCCCTACCATGGACAAGGTAGCCAGGCCCTCAGGCCGATGGCCATCAGCAGCCTGTGGGGACTAGTGACCAGCTTACAGACAAGGCAAGATAGGAGAGATGGGGAGGGTGGGAAAGACACAGGAAACAGAGAGATGGAAGGAAAGGGAGAGAAGGAGCAAGGATCGAGGTGTCCCAGAGCGCTTTGACCGGCACCCAGGAGAGGACGTTACTCATTAGTACATCAGTAGGGACCCCTGTCCAACGGTGGCTTTTCCCATTCTTCTACCACTGAGAGAGGCCTAGTCCTGCTCTTTAACACAACAGACTCTGGCCAATGGATTGAATAGCATCTGTAATAAGGAACAATTCCCTGGTTTTCCTCCAGACTTCCTTAACTAGGACTATACAGAGAAAGGGTTTATTTTTTTTTTAATAACAACCCCCCCCTCTTTTTGCCTTGTTATCACAGAGATCCGAAATAGAGTTACCAAATTTGCACTTTCCCTTTTCCTTTTGAGCTGAGACGAAGCACAGAAAAATAGAACCAAGAAAGACACTTAATTAAAAGGCCTTCATTGTGTGCCAAGCACTGGGCTAGGCACTTCAAGGAAACAAGCAAAATGGTCTTTTCAACATTTATAGTGATCGTCAACCCTTGACCATAGAAGAGCGGGATTACACGGAAATCTGGTTAATTGAAAATTGGAGAACCAAAGGAAAATACCTTTGAAAGGAGAGGAGCCCATAATGAATTTGCTTCTCCTAAGGTCCCCTGGATGCTCCAAGGGGACATAAAGGCACGACTGTTTGGGGATACTTCCAATTAGCCAGCCAGTTTACAAACACAAAACCTAATTTCAGCTTTAGATTCACAAAATAATTGAACCTGGAAAGCCCCATTTTGTTGAAGACAGTGCCCTTTTGTTCAGCTCCGATGCTGTGCATGGAGGTCTAGGCCAGTATATTGCAACAGTAATACATGTGACCATGGACTTGTTCACTCTTATAAAATGCAGAACCAGAACAAGGAGGTGTCCATCAAAGCTTGGGAACAAATAGTGCCGGAACTTGTTCTAAAGCCTACGGTATTTACAGGTAGACAACAGAGGGAACTCATTCCCCAAATAGGTATAGACTGGGAAACACAAATCTGTTCAAAAAAGGCACAGATAATTTTTAGCAGTGACAGAGGCAAAAGGAGTCCTTTAAGAGACTGCAGGGATATGAACCCCTGGGTGGCTCAGTCAGTTAAGCATCTGCCTTCAGCTCAGGTCGTGATCCCAGGGTCCTGGGGTCGGACTCCCAGCTCAGCAGGGGATCTGCTTCTCCTTTTCCCTCTGCAACCCCCTCATGCTCTCTTGTGTGGGCTCTCTCTCTCTCAAATAAAGAAAATATTTAAAAGAGAGAGAGAGGATGCAGGGATGCTGAAATTAACACAGGAGCAAAAAGTAATAAAAAGTCATCCCCGGGGGGTACCTGGCTGGCTTAGTTGGTGGAGCACGCAACTCTTGATCTCGGGGTCTGAGTTCAAGTCCCACGTTGGGCATAGAGCTTACTTTAGGAAAGAAAAGGTCATCCTGGGATGGAGGGGCCGCAGACACATAGTCCAGCTCCAGAGGCTGCCTCTATTTATTTTTTATCAAAGCAAATTTTGTTGATTATATTGATTTTAGGAATTTTCACTTTCTAATGAACTCCAAAGTAGGAACAGTCATCCCCCTGGTGATGGTCCTTGTACACTCTAAGATAGGAAGCCTGTCTATAGGGTATGGAGACATTTCTCTGTCCATTGTTCCTCATTCAGACACTACCCCAGGGATGAAAACAAGATTGACTCCTCTTTTTAATAACAGCTCCCCTTCCTTGAGCCCTTGTTGCACACCAGCTGTGGAGCTGAGGTCTTCACGTGTGTCATCCGATTTATATATCCAATACAAATATCACCCTTTGGGGGAAAGAGTCTTGCCATTGCCCGTCTCTTGTCATTGGAGTCTGTCTGACTCTAGATTGGCTTGAAGAATTCTTTGGGGAAGCTATAAATCTGACCCCAGCATAGATCTTTCCCCCCAGTTATTTTAGGACACTTATATTTTTTTACCGATTTAAATTACGGGCTTCCTTATCGTGACTCAGAAGGGGTCTCTAGAGAGTAAACTCTCTAATAATTTAATTATTAAATTGCTCCCCACTCCAGGAGCTGCTGGGACACTTCTCATACCTCTCCTGGTTCTTTTTCTAGATTTGAGCTGTCTCTGTGTTTCCTCATTGGAGACTTCAGAGTCGGGCGGTATGGGTTTTGAGTGATGTGGGTTTTTAAATTTCTTTTAAAGACTTTATATATTTTAGAGAGAGAGAGAGCACACCTGGGCAGGGGGAAGAGCAGAAGGGGAGGGAGAGGAAGAGAGAGAAGCAATGCTGGAGAGCAGATTCCTCACTGAGAGCAGAGCCCACGTGGGGCTCAGTCCCAGGATCCCAAGATCATGACCAAGAGTCAGACACTCAACCAACTGAGCCGCCCAGGTGCCCCAAGTGATGTGTTTTTAGGTAAACTGTTTCCTTCTGGAACTTCAGCGGTGTGCTTGAATTGAGCTTTCTTTTGTTCACCAAGTTTCATTCCCTTCTAGTTTCTTTTTTTAAAAGATTTTATTTATTTATTTGACAGACAGAGATCACAAGTAGGCAGAGAGGCAGGCGGGGCGGGGTGGTGGTGGAGGGGAGCAGGTTCTTTGCTGAGCAGAGAGCCCGATGCGGTGCTCAGTCCCAGGACCCTGGGCTCGATCCCAGGATACTAGGATCATGACCTGAGCTGAAGACAGAGGCTTTAACCCACTGAGCCCCCCCAGGCACCCCTCCCTTCTAGTTTCATAGGAGGAAATACCAGTCTTTACCCAGGAAAGCCAAGAGGATGAGGGAACACCTTGCTTGCATTCCTAGATAAATAGAAAGCAATCAGCAAAACCACACACCAGCTCTGACGATAAAACTTCCAGAAGGACAGACCTACCCCACCCTCCCCCGCCACCAAAAAAAGCCAGAACTTCCTTAGGATCTCAGATTGAAAAAGGGCCCACATCACAGATGACTTTTCTAGACTTTCTTCTAAATGACTTCCCCATTCGGGTCATTTCTAAATAGGACTATATATGTAACTTTGTGTTTGAAAGCTACTGCTCCTTTTTACCCCAAGGCTGATAGAAGAGAGAGGAAAAAGAGGGATAGGATTTTATTTTAATCCCTCCAAGTTGTGCCCTCGTTGGGTAGCTGTCCAGTTAGGAAGCTTAGGAAACATTCCTTGTGGTCAGACACGACGAGGGCTTTGCTCTGGTCAGATGGCCTGAGGAGGCTGTGAGTGCTGAGCTGGGAGAAACGGGACTCTCGTAAACATTGGACTCCACGGCGTCCTCGCTTCGTGAGCTCCCCATTCCCCAAGGCAGGAAGATGGAAACTGAGGCTATCTTGGCCTCCTCACTAACCTCCCTACTCACTTCCGTTGCCCCGACGACACTCCTTTCCCTCCTACCTGTACATTGGTTTTAGCCAAGTAGCCCAAATTCCGCAGGGTATAAGGCATTGGGTTCTATTGCGCTGGGAAATTCAACCTAAGGGAGCTTTATGTAACACTTCAAGGGTCCCAGCCATACTTCCCAATCTGGCCCACCAGGCGGGTCCCCCTCCTTCACTAACGGTGAGCTGCCTCCTCTCCTGTCCACCTAGTAAACAAAAGTCTCAGCCTACGCAAAATGCAGACACCTCTGTTTATGCTCGTTATCAAAGCCTGTGAAGGTACCGTAGCCACCAAAAATGACTCACTAGAGATTGGACCCGTTTAATGGGAGGATCACTTTAGTCCTGGGGGAGGGGGTGCATGGCATGGGCTACCGAAAGCCTTAGAAGGCTGTGGCTGCCCCAGCTCAACCGTTTCTCTGTATTTCCCCCTCGCCTACCAAGTGTGTTCCACCGGGCGGGGGGGGGGGAGCTGGGGGGTCATCCTCTGGTAGCACCCTCAGCCTGTGGCTCACCCCCCTTCTCTCCCCTTCCTCCAAGGAGCGACTGGGCAGGCGGCAGGCTCGAAGTGACCACGGTGGCCCAGAAGTAGGCTATTTAGATGCTTTTCATGCTTTGTGGCATGCGAGGATTCAAAGCTCTGTTCTGCTGAGCTGCCTGTCCCATTAGTAAAGTCGACTCCCACTCCCAGGCAGGAACCAAAAAGCACCAGGCCAGCTCCCCAGCTGTAACAAAGCCAGATCCTTCCCAAGGTGCCTGCTGGTTGCTAGGAAACTACGTGCGGGTCCTGTGGGCCTTGCCCTCCCCCCCCCGCCCCCCCAACCCCGGGCCCCAAGGGTGTGTGGACTGCAGCCAGTTAGCTCCCTAGCTCTGCCAGGAGTCCTTCAAGTTTATCCTTAAGACTCCCAGCGTCCTCAAAGGGAACTGAGAATCATACCACTCCCAGCCGCTTGAATCCTTCCCAAACATGAAAGCAAGAAGTGAGAACCAAAGGCCATTGTGTCACACACACACACACCCCCTTTTACTATCAAAGTGTGCAACTGCCACCCTCGGCGGCTGCTGCCCACAGAAGCTTCTCGCAGCACCTCCCGGGACAGAACGGCCTCTTGCTGCACTGTTGGAAGCTTGCACCTCCTGTCTAGGAGCACCTAAACCCGGCCGCCTTGTTCTCACCCTCCCATGGCACCTTTAGAAGGGCCAAGTGCCACGTCTCCAGTCCCTGGCATGGAGACTTTTGTCTCCACTGGGCTGAGAGGACAGTGCTCTCCCTTGAAAGCAACAGGGGAGGAGGGAGGGAGGGAAGGAGGGAAGAAGGGAGTCCTGTAGTGCAGAATGGAAAACTAGGAAGTCCTCCCAGAGTGGAGAGAGAAATTGGGATTTTAGCAAGGAATCGGGCTTGTCTTAAGTCCACTGACTCAAGATGTTTTGTCTTTAAGGGTTCTGCAGGTCCTTTGACCCTGTCCATTCCTTCACTCAGTGCTGAAAGAATGAATGGGGTGGGGGAGGAGGAGGGAGTGATGGGAGCCACATCCCTTGTCATCCCAGCACAATGTGGATGGATATCTCAGTGCCATGGGCAAGACCTAGATACCTGGACAGCCCTTTCTAAGGAGTGCAGGGGTGAGGACTGGGGATTAGGAGACTCAGCCAGGTGGTCTCAGGCTCCAGAAATCTCATATCAAGGCCAACTCTCAGTAGCCCCAGACCTTTAAAAATAACACGATTGACTCAGACTGGCCAGCCAAAGTAAAGGCATAACCTCCCGCAAATAGCACTCGAACTGTTGAGAAATTGTGGTGTAAGTGGGTCTTTTTGTTTTTCTTTTAAAAGCCATATCTTAAAATTTATTTATTTATTTATTTATTTATTTATTTATTTATTTATTTATGAGAGATTGAGACAGAGAGAGAGAGTGGGGGAGGGGAGTGGAGGGAACAGATCAAGCAGACTTCCTGCTGGACCTGGAGTCCAACCCTGGGCTCCCCGAGATCAGAACCTGAGCTGAAACCAAGAGTCAGTGCTTAAGCGACTGAGCCACCCAGGCACTCCTTTTTGTTTTTCTTTTCATGTACCAGTTCCTCCTAGAACTAAGACACACCAGAAAATTGCAGTTCTCCAGCCCTGTTCCTTGGCTTATTATGTTCACCCTTCCTGAGAGCCTAAAACCAGCCTCTGACCCCCTGCCATCCAGGTAGTCCCCTCCAGTCTCCAGGCCTCAGCCATGCTCCACCGCCAGAGCAAGGAGAGGTACCCACAAGATGTGACTGTAATCTTTGAAAACATGTTTTACTTTTTAAAAACATGCCAAGTTGGGGCATGTGGGTGGCTCAGTTGGTTAACTGTCTGCCCTCAGCCCTGGTCATGATCCTGGGGTCCTGGGATCGAGTCCCACGTCAGGCTCTCTGCTCAGCGGGGAGTCTGCTTCTCTCTCTCTCTCTCTCTCTCTCTCTCTCAAATAAGCAAATAAAATCTTTTTAAAAAAAACATACCAAGTTCATCTGATATACTCCTGAGGTTAGGGTCACTCATTCAACATTTATTGAGTACCTACTACTTGCCAAGCACTGTTCTGAGCTCTGGGGGATATATCAATGAACAAAATGAAAACAGGCCAACTCTCCTTGAGCAGGAAAGTCATCAGGGTCAAGGGTACACATGAGCCAGGGAAAGAGAAGTAGCAATGACTCCTGATGTGTCAATTCACTGTTTTTAAAAAGAAAAAAAAAAATCTCTATCCTCTCCCTTCCCAAAGACTACCAAAGTCAGACAACTCGAAGTAATACTGAATCCTACGTCACTGCAACCTGGCAGGTTGTACCTTGTTCTTACCATTGGTGTTCTCATCTCCGCGCCCGTGCTCCTCTCTGCTCTCCGACCTACCCCACGCTCGGGCGGGTGGGCCGCAGTTAAGATGAAACAAATTGTCAGACTTGGAAAAGCCCAGATCCAAGAAAGCCCAATTAACCTCTGTGACCTTAGTTCTTGTTTGGTGTTTTTGTTTGTGGGATGGGCTCTGGGACATATTCTGGCGGCCAAGACTTTCCCAGGCATTACTGGCTTAACCTCTGAAGTTCTTAAGGGCCAAAGTAGCTTTCCGAAGACTAGCGGGGATGCTGTTGCCATGGCTCGAGGGAGAGGCACTGAAGGCTTGGGCTGTAAACATGGACAGGGAAGTGGTGGACTGAAGAGACAACACAGAAGTAGGAGTGACCAGGTGGCTGGTTGCAGGGCTCAAGGGGCGGGGGAGGAGGACCCCATGCTCTCCACGTGGGCGCTGTGCAGCCTGAGTGACTGCGACAGCGGGACCCCCCCAGCTGATGCCCCGCATGAACTCTGTAAGGCTTCGGAGCGCTCTGTTGTTCCAAACAGGAGCACACCTGGTCCACACTCGTTTTTTAAGTAACGATGGGCTTGGGGGGGGTGGATTGCGACCCAGCTGCTTTAACTGGTGTTTCATTTTTATTACACAGCATTCCGGTGTCTTCCCATCCTCCCCGCCCTCCGGACTTTCTGATGAGCCCCAGTCCGCCTCGCCTTCGCCCAGCTACATGTGGTCCTCGAGCGCACCGCCCCGCTACTCTCCCCCCTACTACCCGCCTTTTGAAAAACCACCACCTTACAGCCCCTAAAGACGAATGCCTGCTGGCTATTGAGATTATCGTGGCTTTTGTATTTCTGCTTTAGTGGAAGTGTGTAGGGTACAAAATTTAAAGTGTGATTTTTATGCATAAAGTTTTATGAAGGCCTGCCAAGCTAGGGAAAGATAGGGATGAAGCTTATTCATTTATCAGTGCAGAGCAGGGGTGGCTAGGCTGAACCCAGCGCTTCCAAAAAGGGCAGCGCACACTCTAAGCAAGGCTGGGGAGCCATCCCAGCAAGAAGCTTGTCCCGTTGGGACCTGGACCTGCGTTTCCCTATGGCTCTGCCTCGGCCCTCTGCTGCAGCGGCAGCGGGGCTTGCCACCTGTTCCACTTTGTGTAAATGCAGTGTCGTCCTCAAACCCTCGACAGACCGCCACCCTAGCACCTTGGGTTGAGCACCTGGCTTATCTATAGGCCCTATCTTTCCCTACCACTGCAGTTAGTCCCTAAGGAAAATTTCCCAGCTGGAGCTACCCAGTGGTTCCAATGCAGAGAGTTTTGGCTAAGATTTTGTTTGCTTGTGTCTGGATGTCAAAAAACGCTGTCTGTATCTTATACTCCTTTCTTCTCTGTGAGTATTGTAAAAATGGCTGTTGTGATCGTTCAGCTCAGCTTTTGTTATCAGTACCTCCCAAAGGGAAAAGTGCAATATTCCCTCGAATAGTGGGAACAGGACTGATTGTTTAGAATGTGCTGAAATACAGAGACCAACGTGTGAGGTGTTTTGAGTCGATCTCAGTGACACATTCGATAACTTAAGAGACAGAGGTTCTGCTGCGTGGTGCAGTGTTACAGAAGACATTGGCTATGGGAGATCTTACGGTTAAAATTCAGAGTTTAAAACGCTAGGCTAGGTTCTTGGGTGGTGATGATGAATTTACTAATCTTTGTGACTATTTAATCTTCAAATATTGTGCTTCAATCCCAGCAAACCGCACGTATCCCGCACCCCACCCCGAGAGAATCATCTGTATTTTAATGCCACTGCTCTTACTGGCCCTTTTTTCTGTTGAGACCAATCACGACAGTGTTCAAGATTATGAAAGTGTTACAATGCCGCTTTAAGTCTGCAAAACCTCAAAAGTAGCCAACTTGACAAATTCTTAGGTGTTACCGTAGATTTCACATCCATCTGGCACATTGTGGTAGGTGTTTGTATGGTTCTTTTAATTATGCATAGCTTTAAACCATCCACCTGATGAATTTAACACTTCAGCACCCATGCCTTCACTTCAGAAGGAACACTTTCACTGCAATCTTATGTTAACCTGAGACTTGAGTGATTTAAAGGAAGATGGATAATCCTACACTTGTATAACGTAAAAATACAGGGGCTACAGGAGGGTACCTAATTAGTTCTGCAAACACAGAACGCATACTGGAAAATTTTCCGGCCGATTTCGCTACCTCCCGACTTGATGGATTAGAGGTAGCAGGCAAATGCTGGTGCTCCCATCTACCTTGTAGACACCCAGCCATCAAGAATTATCAAGGCACAAGTGCCCTCATTGTTCACAGTAAATGTTTGCAAAGCATTCGGTTTAACTTCCGGCATTATGAATGATGTCTCATCCAGAGTTCAAATCAGGAAAACTAGAACCCTTTTGCGTTATATAAAATTACTATTATTTTCTACACTTCTGAGCATATTAAATTCTATTGGATTTCAAAAAGGGACTAACGACCAATTGACTTACTATACGAATACCAACTTGTAATACTCAATGAAATTTCTTGCCATTTACACTACCTTTTGCTTTAGTGAACGTGTATGAGTATTTAATTTTCTAAAAGGCACCATTACACAGTATATCTTACATTTATCACATTTCTTAAAGTGTTGAGACTCTGACTCATTTCTATGTATTTTTCTTACTTTACAAAATAACTTGAAACAGAATAGATTTTGTAACACTTAATTTGAGCTTCTTTTTTTATTACATTGAATTATATAAAGTGCATGTTACCTTAGAAAAATTAATATTTGCTGCTTTACTCTTTTGCAGAACATTTGCTGTAATGAAGGAATTTGTATTTCCGATATGTACCTTGACTGCATTTTGTAATATTTACTGCTTTATTCCTAATTCTGCTTTAAAGTATTGAACTGGGCATGAAACATTAAAATATTAATCCAGAACCTCTACAAACTGGATGTTGCTTAAAATCTGTATCACTGCCATGTTGGAAACCCAGACTGCTTTTGTGATGTTTCAAATTAATAAAACTATCCTCCTCCGTATCCACTTACATGTGTCTTCATGGAACCCACAAAAGTATCACAAACACTCCAAAGCAACTGACAACAGCCACTCACTTTTGACTATTATGGTTCAAGGAACAATGGGGATGCAATGAACCGACATGTAAAACCTTTCAGAAGGTAGAAGAGGGACAGTGAAGTATCCTCCAGACTGAGAAGGCATTTTGAGACCAAACAAAGCAGCAAGCCAGCAAAGCAAGCCACTCCATACCGCGGACAGTCTGATTCAGGGTAACTCACTGAGGCAGGCGGGGTGGGGGGGTCGCTGCGGAGTGTGCACAATCCAGGCACTGCACAGCTGTTCTCCAAAGTCCAGACCTCAACTCACAGATTTTACAGAGCACTGTGGTGAGGCGAAAGTATAGTTATCTAAAGTGGTGCCATCTGGGGTGTCTGAGTTGGTTAAGCGTCTGCCTTCGATTCAGGTCATGATCCCAGGGTCCTGGGATCGAGCCCCGCATTGGACTCCCTGCTCAGCGGGAAGCCTGTTTCTCCCTCTCCCTCTCCCCCTGCTTGTGTTCCTTCTCTCACTGTCTCTCTCTCTCAAGTAAATAAAATCTTTTTAAAATAAAAATTAAAAAATAAAGTGGTGCCATCTGTGTGCCAGAGGGGAGGGGAAGAAATTGTTAGCTCTCCTAGCTGTTTCGACAACTTTAGGAAAGATGAAAACAAGCCTTCCTACATTCTGGTCAGGGCATACGTTAACCTCCAAGGGCCCTGGAACATGTAGCCCTGAGGGAGGTCACTGCGCAGACATGAAGACGGAAAGCCAAAGATGGAGTCAGTACTGTCAGCACCCCAACAAACCTAGTGGGGAACTTTGTTGTGCTGTCATCAGAAATATCCTCTGAACTGAAAAACAAAATAGTAGAGTCTATGTAATTTCTTTTCTTTTTTTAAGTGAGCTCTATGGCCAATGTGGGGCCTGAACTCATGACCCCCACCCCCCCGTATGCTCCACCAACTGAGCCGGCCAAGTCCTCCAAGTCTATATCATTTCTGAAAGATAACCTTGTAAAAAATACACTCGAAAATCAGAATTATAACATTTTATTTTTGCCATAAGAAGCTCTACGAACTAATACCAGGAAATGGTTAATGAAAAGTAGAACTTAAAGTCATATGATAGGAAAGATTGTACAAGTATGAACATTACAGTACTGGGTGGAAATGAACACGGTTTCGTATGATTGACAGAAGTGAGGAAGCCAGTGCTGTTGAATTAACATTTAATCCTTTAGATTAGGCATGCCTTGACAATACGAAATACCTTGACCATTTTTAACCATTTATCTTTTTGGTACAATGGAAAAAAGACAACATCAATTCCTCATAGTAGTTGCATTTGGGGATCAGTACCGAGATGGTAATGATCATTTAAAATCTATTTTAAAGTAAATCTTGCAGGATTGCTATGGCATTTTAAAATCTTTGCTTAGTTTGGGCATTTTCATTTTGTCATCTCTTTCAGCACATTGGTATTTTCAAACGGTTCCCATCCAGAAGGTTTACAGGTATTTTAGTGTAGGCGCAAATTTGCAGCCAACTTGAAAGAAAAAAGAAGGAATTTAGTAGCCAGAAAGCGAAGTACGAAATAGGAAAACACCATGGTAAGTTTTAAACAGAATCTTGCTACAGATCTCCAACCCAATAAACACCGGGAGTGAATGGTTTCAGCCCCAAAGGAGTTAATTTGCACAAATTCTGAACTTTGGATACAGAAACTTCTGAAAAAACTGAAGACCTTGACATACATGCAAGGAAGAGTCTTCTGGCAAAAATACAAGTTAACTTTCCAGTTTTCCTTCTCCTCAGAAAACTCTAGAAGACACCTTCATTAGGCACAGAGTTTAAATTTTATACTCAAAACTGACAGCACAGCAGCAGGGCATAATAATTCTGTTCGTATTCTTCAGAATGGACAGTTTTCCCTTACAGACTCAATACCTGGTTTGTCATAATAGCCTTGTTAGAAACTCTTAAGTTTTATTATGATCAACTAATTTTCCTAGCAGGTAAATTTGAAAGGTCTGGAAGCTCTGCTGGCTGTCAGTATCATTCACACTCACAGAAGTAATTATGTCTAACTGGTGAAAGAGCATTAATGAAACTCACACAGATTTCCACCGGAAATATTTCTGAGTGCACCTTATAGTCAGAGTAACGTTGTCAGTATCTGCACAGAACCGAAACAGATACTGTGATTCCAGAGATCCGAGGCTTAAGTTCTAAGGTAACTTAAACTTTTCCAAGGATTAGTTCACAAAATGGTTTGAACGTCAAGACTCAGAACAGAAAACAGACAGATGCACATCATTCTAGCCCTCGGTAAGCAGCAGATTATAGCATTTTCTTTCTCGTGTTATTGCAAATACTGAGGCCTGATACCCTCTGCTACCAACTTGAAACACTGAAACCATTATCTTTGAATCTAGCTTACCGTCAGAAGAATGATGTATACGTGAAAAATTATGATTAAAGCTTTAAGTTCAAAGTCAAGAAATAGACTATTTTTAAAAATACATAGTTAAAGAGAAAGAAAATATCTATGTTGAATTAAGAAATATTTAAGCAAGGTTACAAAGGACTAACGACTATTCACAACAATCTTTTTCAGTATCTATTAATTTTTTTCCTTTGCAAAAAGTAATTTACAGAAGTTCAACACATTAATCCTGTTATAAAGGCTAGGCTATATATTTGTTCCAACCTGCTTCCTTTTAGTACTATCACTTCAGTGAGTTTTGACTTTATTCTCTAAGTGTTTTAAATATGTGTCACCTGAAAAGGAAGAAAGGTACATGTATTGTTCGCAAGATAAACGGGAATCAACAAGCCTATATAACATTACATATATAGTTTCTGATTGCTATAATATTGCAGCACTTTGCAGATGGAATGGAACTTACTTTAGAAGGGGTAAAAACCTAAAAGGTCTTGTGAAAGGAAAATACTAGATCATGAATTCAACTATTTCGAATGAAAACTTTCTATTAGAAATTCTAAGTAATATGAACATTTAAAAATATATACCGGTAGCCTCCTGCCTAAAATATGTAGGAGTCTCATTTATGGAATCTATCATTTATAAAGATTTATACATAACGAAATATTTATTTGGTGGCTTTCGGATTCAAACTTTGAAATTTCAGAAGGGGAACATTTTTAACCAGATGAACAAAAAGGGAACTCTCCATTCACTTCCACTCTCTATCATGTAAGAACACAGAACTCAAAACAAACGCAACAGAACTTTTCCTCTCCTCCTGTCTGCAATACAGAGATGTGTTTTCCATTAACACCTCTGCCCACAGAGGCCACAACCGCGAAGGTATATATACAGTAGTCCAGCCACCAAAGTCTTTTCCAGACAATGGCAATAAAAGCAAAACTCAATTCTAATTAGCTAAAACTCTTTCTTCAGATGAGACACTTGTCTGTGCGGCCATTTTCATGGCGGGAGGGAGGCAGGAGGTTGCTATCCATTTGGACTAGCAGAATACACAACCAAGCAGAGACTTATTCTGCAATTTTCCAGAACAACTTTAGAAGTTCTTATTTACTTTTTTTTGCCACATCCAAAACACAACACGCATTTATAGTCTCAATATTAAGATAATTGAGAATTCAGCAGTAAAGTGCTAACATGGAAGGGGAAAGTTGTAAGATAGACTAGGGTATGCTAATAACTCCAGTTATTTTCAAAAAACATTCAGACTGCTTCAAATTCTATTCAGGAAACTATCTCTCCAAGCTTTTTTTTTCTTCTTGCCTCTTTAAAACGAGCTGAAAGCTAACTATACAAACAGATACTCGGGCGGGGGTATCTCAATCTCTACTCAAACTTTCAGAATAATTTGCTTCTAAAAATTATCCACAAATAATCCAACTAGACTGCCTTCAGATGATGTGGCAGATCAAATGAACTCGTTTTCACCTTAATTTGTTTTACAGGTCTTTTGAAACCCCTGCCCCTGAATGCGAACCAAACTTTTGGAGTTTTCAAAGTTCAATAAGATTCTGGTATTATAAATTCAAACTCGGTACTGCCATCTGTTACATTCTGTTTAAAAATTGAATCATTTTCCTGCTGAATAAAAATATCTTCCCAGGTCATTGGCTTGTTCTGAGGAGTAGATGCGGTCCCTACTGCAGGGTCTTTCCCAGCATCGACCTTATAGCCAACAGCATCATCCTTCATTACAGGCATAGTGCCTGACCTATCAGAAAGATACGCATATTGTCTGATCTGCAGGGACCTGCATGGATGTAAACGATAAAGCTTTGAGTCTCCAGAAGGATCTTGACTATGAACTGACTTTATGTGCGAAGACATAAACTGATAGTTGATGAAAGATTTGCCACAGGCCAAACACTGGTACCTTCGCTCCCCTGTGTGATGAATTTCGTGTTTTGTGCGATATTCTGCAAGAGGAAATACCTTCTCACAGTAACGGCAAGGGTACTTCTTCTCCCAGGAATGAATGTTAAAGTGTCTCCGCAAGCTCGTCAGACAGACATATGACCTTTTGCACACAATACAGATATAATAGACCCTCCCATCTACTATTAACTCATAATGATCATCGTGTTTTACTTTCATACGTTTGCTGGGCGTCTCACCGCTAGGTGTTTTTGGTATCTCATTCTCAAGTCTGGCCTCCCCTTCGTCAGGGTCATCTTTGACGGGGATCACTATGTCATAAGTATCTTCTCCGATATTTGCATAAACCTTGCAACCCGTCGACAAGCCTTCAATCTCGGTAGCTGTGTCTAAGGTAATGATCTTCTGACCCTCCATGAGATGTTTTGATCCTAAACCTGTATCATTAGTGTTTCTAGTAATTATATCTGAAATTTTTAGAGAATTGGAAAGTGGCTCTTGCAGAAGTGTAGGAATCTGCATCTTCTGTACCAACGATCCATCAAAAGTGGCATTCTGGGGGATCTCAGCCTGGGGGACCAGAGATGTACTACTG